TTCAGATATGACGGCTGATAGAGATGTATGGAAGAGCAGCACATACTGTGCCGACCCTCCATAAGGGATAAGGGCAAGTGGATGATGATCCTCTAATCATATAAAATTAATCTAACCTCAAATTATGTAGAATAAATAGATTGGAACCCTAGTCTTCTAGTCTACTAAGTAATATAAGACTAAGTAAGACTTTCTAATTATCAAAATTAGGATTAAGTAATTTGGCAACATTTTTTTATATATTTCATGATATAAATAATTTAAATGTTTATACAGATATTCTCTATGGTCCGCGATCGGTCTGTCCATCTCGCTGTACATCGGCTACGATAACTTCGAGAAGCTTCTAGAAGGAGCCAACTATATGGACCAGCACTTCACCACCGCGCCATTGGAGAAGAATGTAAGTTAAAACTAAAGTTGCTTCAAAGATATTGAAAGGGTAGTTTTTAGTTGGGAGTTTATTTTAATTCAGCAGAGTTGGTCCTTCGAGTCGTATATAAGCCAGCGATTTATGTATATTTTATAACTAGCTGTTCCCGTGCTGCTTTATCTGCATAAAATTATGAAAATCCTATTTTATTGTTTACATTTGTCAAATTATCAATTGCAAATGTCAAAATGACACGATATGACAAACCTTGACAATCTTACTTCCAGAATGTTGGCAGCAACTTATGGTCTCTTTCCCACATTAGGGTTTTTATCCAAAATATTCACCCTCTACATTTAATGGCGTGAAAATATATAGCCTAAGCGTGATATAATTGTAGGGATTTTTATTAAAAAAAGACTTTTTTAAAAATATGCTGTAATTGCTGACATGTTAGGCAACAAAGAAGTGTGTGTTTACGCTTTATTATAATAGTATATATATATATATATATTGGTACTACTTAAGGTAAATCGTTTATTTGCGCAGGCGCCCGTGATCCTCGCGCTGCTGGGTGTGTGGTACCACAACCTGCACGGCGCGGAGACGCACGCGCTGCTGCCCTACGACCAGTACCTGCATAGGTACGAGTACATTACACTTTACATACATTTCACCATGTATTTTAATATAAGTAAATATTTTTGTTAAGAAATCCCAGTAAGATATCATAGAGATGAGACAAGTCAGAAGACTTGAGAACAAGATCCTCTTAGTGTCTTCATAAAGGTTTTTTTTTTATAACATAAGGTGGCAAACGAGCAAGCGGCCACCTGAATCCAAAGAAATGGAAAGCGACCGCTGCCCATAGACATCCGCATTTGCAGATGCGTTGCCTGCCCTTATTGACGGAGGAGACGCACATAAAGAAGATATTTCCTCTTCCTATGCATCTCCTCCGTCAAATCCCTTCCCATCCTCTCCTTATAAGAAAAGGGTGGTAAAGAGAAATGATGATTTACCGATATTGAGGAAAAAACCTGGAATGTCCCACAGAGAGTGGGGTACTTGGTGTGTTCTAAATAGAGTGGGATACATAGTATGATCCTACATAGAGAGATATATTTGGTGTGTCCCATATCATCATCAACTTGCCCTTGTTCCTTACGGAGGGTCGGCACAGTATGTGCTGCTCTTCCATACATCTCTATCAGCCGTCATATCTGAATCCACTTCCTTACGCATATCTTCTTTCAAATAATCCATACTTTCTTCGATTCTTTCTTTCTTTTACTTTCTTGGTGTGTCCCACAAACAGATGAAAGAAACAACTGGCGTGTTCACATGGAGTGGGATATTGCGTGTGTTTCACATAGGGTGGGAAACCGCGTGTGTTTTATTGTGGGATATCGACTGTGTTCCTCATAGAGTGGGATAATTTTGTATGTCCCACAAAGAGTGGGATAAATTTGTGTGTCCCACAAAGAGTGGGATAGCTTTGTATGTCCCACAAAGAGTGGGATAATTTTGTATGTCCCACAAAGAGTGGGACAATTTTGTGTGTCTCACAAAGAGTGGGTTAATTTTGTGTGTCTCACTAAGAGTGGGATAATTTTGTATGTCCCACAGAGAGTGGGATAATTTTGTGTGTCTCACAAAGAGTGGTATAATTTTGTATGTCCCACAAAGAGTGGGATAATTTTGTATGTCCCACAAAGAGTGGGATAATTTTGTGTGTCTCACAAAGAGTGGGATAATTTTGTACGTCCCACAAAGAGTGGGATACTTGGTGTGTTCCACATACAGGGGGATACCAAGTGTGTGCTATTAAGAGTACAATAAGGACTGGAGATGTATTTTCCTAGATTCGCAGCGTACTTCCAGCAAGGGGACATGGAGAGTAACGGTAAGTACGTGACGCGGGGCGGCGCGCGCGCGGAGCACAGCACGGGGCCCATAGTGTGGGGCGAGCCCGGCACCAACGGACAGCACGCCTTCTACCAGCTCATACATCAGGGCACCAGGTAATTATATTTATATCTATACTATTATAATAAAGCGTAACCACACACTTCTTTGTTGCTTAACATGTCAGCAATTACACCATATTTTTGAATAATTCCTTTTTTTAATAAAAAGCCCTACACCTAAGACACGCTTTAGGTTATATTAAAATTAGGGGGACAATAAATTGGGAAAATATCATTCATGTGGGAAAGGGACAAAAACTACAAGCTGACAATATCATGGAAGCTTGGTTGCCATGGTAACGGTAATTGCTATCCAATGTCAAAGGCCTTTATTAGCCCCTAACTTCCCTACTCTTTCGACATGATGTATATATTTTCACGCTATTAAACTTAGGGGTGAGTGAATTAGAAAAAATGATATGCGCAACGGCGACCAAAAATGCAAGACAATTGCATTATTTTATTTGGCAGATTGATCCCGTGCGACTTCATAGCGCCCGCGCAGACACACAACCCGATATCCGGAGGAGTCCATCACAAGATCCTGCTCGCCAACTTCCTCGCGCAGACTGAGGCTCTCATGAAGGGGAAAACTGAATCTGAGGTAAGTTTACAATAACTGGTACTTTACTTTATAAGGCAATTATTTTCCAATTCATATTACTGTCACATTTCTATGTTGGTATGGTAATACTCAATACCAACCTCAAGAAAAAATCCCTACTCAATATTTTTTTCGAAATCTTCAGAACTTACTGGCTTAAAAACCGTTTACTACTATTTAAAAAAAAAACTAATGTTTGATTTTAGACTATTAATTACTAGCTGTTGCTCGCGACTTCATCCGCGTGAAATTAATAAATATAACCTATGTTACACGAATAAATTACGGCACAGTAGTTTTTGAGTTGTTTCAATACATACAAAACTACAAATCTTTTCTCTTTGTAATATTAGTATAGTATAGATATTGCTTAAAACTGCCATTTGTAAATGTCAAAATTCAAACGCTCTAATGACAAACGCCTTTGCTATTGGTTAAAAATTACCATTACCATAGCTTGTTTCGTTGCTTATTGGCTTATAGTTTGCTTCTTTCAACCTTTTTTTTTTTCAATTTTATCACAAAGTTTAGACTAGATTCTTTTTCAAGTGTTTATGTATTTAAAAATTATTACAGCAACTAATTTAAAAGTAATAAAAATTATTTCAGGCTAAGGCTGAATTAGAGAAATCGGGAATGTCTCCGGAGTCGATCGCGAAGATCCTGCCACACAAAGTGTTCCTCGGCAACCGACCCACTAACTCCATCGTCGTGAAGAAACTGACTCCCTTCACACTTGGAGCTCTTATTGGTATGTATCTATCTCTTTTTCACCAATGACATAGTATGTACTTCTCTCTCATATGATCCAATGGTAAAGCTAGGTTTTTTATACCGCGTTTTTTTATTTTATTTTTTAGGTTAAATGTTTTCTTATGTCTTTGTGAATTATCTAGTTATTAGACTACATTATAAACGCCTTTATTATTAAAAATGGTTACAGCCTTTGCTCAATTTTTAAACTTTTCCTTATGTTAATTTTAATACTGTCTTTAAATTTATCAATAATTAAACTTTTATTAACAATTTAATTATCCAGCGATGTACGAGCACAAGATCTTCACTCAGGGTGTGATTTGGGACATCAATTCGTTCGACCAATGGGGTGTGGAGCTCGGCAAGCAGCTCGCTAAGGCCATAGAGCCGGAGTTACAAGACAATAAGCCAGTAACCTCACATGATGCCTCAACTAATGGACTCATCAACTTCTTGAAGGAGAACTTCGCTTAATCTGTGTCTGCTTGAGTTTTTAATCTATGGTCACAATTGTAATGCTTAATCTTTGACATTTATCTGTTACTGCTTGTAATCTATGGTCACAATTATTTTTGAAAGCTTAGTCTTTGATGTTTTTGTTACTGTGTTTAATCTATGGTCACAATGGTCAATTTCGTTGACAATTTGATTTATATAAAAAATACATTATTTTCTGCCGCAAAGTCGTACTTAGTGTAGATTTCATAAACTTATTCTACTCTAAGGGTACTATTTGACCATTAGGTAATGTATAAAAGAATTGTGTCCAAATGATCATTCTTTGTTGTGATCTAAATTATATTATTTATGTATATTTTTTAATTTTAGTAAATATAAATCATGTGAAGAAATTTTTATGTATACAAATATTACGATTTTTAGATCTGTATAACAGTGAGTAGGATGCTAGTTGAAATTGTTATGCTTTTGAGAGGTTTTGAACAAATTTAATTTACGTTAATAAATATTTAAACAGATGTGTTAGAATTGGTTTATTTATTTCAAAAAATCCTATTTTACTAAATCGATTAATTTTGTATAAAAAATAGACATACAAATCATTTGTCTCAGTGGGCATAAATCGAACTAAAATACAAAAACTCACTAGCGCCAATCTGTTAATGTCAAAAAGTGACCAAAACCCTATACTATAGCTCACTAATCTGAATAAATAGATAGGCGACTAATTGGAAATGACATTTTTGGTTCGTTCAGCCTTAAACGCTCCTTTTTGATGTTAATTCCAGTTAAGTCTATCAATATTACTTCAGAAAGATTACCGCAAGCGAAAACCATCTAGACACATAATAGTATAGTTTATAATCTGTCTATTTATAGAGGTCAGTGTGTACCTAACATGGATTTTTTTGAAAACATATCCTTGCTTGGCTATAAATACATATTAATTAACCAAATTTTGAGAACAATATTACATGAAACAGAATTATTACAAATTTCTATATAATTACTGACTTAATTACCAAATAAGATGGCGTGAACCAGTCACCTTTAAATATATTTTTTTACGTTTAAAGTAGAAACTAAATAAAAGCGACTACAGTTACAAATCTAAACATTTAATTATGAATTTTACTTCTTACATATATTATAAATGCGAAAGTTTTCAGTTGGTTCAGTTGAACTAAACTTTTAAAAAAAGTAGTTAAAACTGAACTATAAAACTATTTTCAACTGACCAGATAAAAACGAACAGTTCAAGACATACATTTTGACTTTTCCGTTAGAGGTGGTCATAGTCTGGAAGAACACATAGGCTTGTTTAATTCCGCTTAATCCTTAAATGCATATTGTTACCAAAAGGCTACATACAGAAATATAGTTTTTATTGAAACCAAGGATTTTTAATTATTTTTTCCTTTATCTGTGACTCAAAACCTATACTGAAATATTTATTTTACAATTAATTTAAAAAATCATGCATTTAAGGGTTCAATCCATTATTCCTTCTATTGATTTGCATGTTACAATGGAAACCTAACAAACTATTTTCTAACTTAAAACTAACTTATTTACTTAGGTTTCCGTCCCCTGCCGCCGCCGGTCTTTGCTTTCTTGTTCGCTGCATTCTTCTTCTCTTCTTCGGCTTTCCTTTTAGGATTCGGTGTTGTTGATAATACCTGGTATTAAAAAATATTGTTTTAACTCAAAAATAATTTAATTGTAACTTTAGCAGTAGTACAGTGGTAGTGTCCGCTTTAACATGTGAGCACTGCAGGGCCGGCACGCCTCCAGTAATAACACGACCACACAGAAGACAGCCGTCAAATGGAACCAATTCCGTGTACAGTCTGATGAGTGTGGTGACGGAGGCCTAATTTAAGTCCCTTTCTCTTTACCACCCTTTTCTTATAAGGAGAAGATGGGAACGGGAAGTGGATTTGACAGTGGAGGAGTTGCATAGGAAGGGGAAATATCTCTTTAAGTGCGTCTCCTCCGTCAATGAAGGGCAGGCAACGCATCTGCAATTGCGGATGTCTATGGGCAGCGTTCGCTTCGCCTTTTTGGCGGATTCAGGTGGCCGCTTGCTTGTTTGCCACCTTATGTTATAAAAAAAAACCGTAGTGTAGATATATTTTAAACGCTAAGGGAGCTTAGTGTGAAAGTTATTATAATTTCTGTACCATTGGTAAATAAATAATCAAAATTATAAAGAGGAAAGGTTTGTATTTTTGTATGTATTGATATAACTCAAAAACTACTAAGCCGATTTAAAAAAATCTTTCACCATTAAAAATCTATGTTATTGCTCAATAATATAGGCTATTATTTGTCTTTTTTTAAAATCCAAGCAGACGAAGTCACAAGCAAAAGCTAGTAATAAATACTATATCATTGACACTATGCTAAGCTATTGTATACCAAGCCTAATGTAAAACCCATCTCTTTCTTATATGAATAAGGTAGCTAGAAAAGGGGATTTATTAAATACTAGCTGTTCCCGTGCGGCTTCGTCCGCATATAATTATTAAAAACTATATTTTATTGTTTACATTTGTCAAATAATCAATTGCAAATGTCAAAATAACATGACATGACCTTGGCAATCTTGCTTCCTTGATGTTGTCAGCAACTTATGGTCTCTTTCCCACATTAGGTATTTTATCCAAAATATTAGCCCCCTAAGCTTAATGACGTGAAAATATTAGCCTAAACATTACATAAGTGTAGGGCTTTTTATTAAAAAAGGAATTATTCAAAAATATGTTGTAATTGCTGACATCTTAAGCAACAAAGAAGTGTGTGTTTACGCTTTATTATAATAGTATAGATACCTTAAAGAATCCATCCAGCCTGCCCTGTGTAGTACCAGATCTTGCTTTCAGGAGTTTCTTGGCTCCGTTCCTCACTCGGTCTTCATTAAACTGTTTATCCCCGCAAAGGAACTTAACTAAACCATCTTCATCAGGATCTGACCATTTTAACTGTAAATAACAATTTAAATAAATAAAAGCTACTTAGTGTTGTTTTGTATACTAATAGGCAAGAAATATAAAAATATAAACGCCATCTTAAGGACAAATATGTAACTATTTTTTTTTAATCTTTCAATATAAAAATTAAAGCGACCCCAGATTATGATTTTTATATAGTTTTTTTTTTAAACCAAAGGAAATATATAGTTGTTTATATAAGAAGTAGTGTAGATTTCTCATTCGACTATTTACGTCCCTAAGTGACCTAAGAAACTGAATATCACAGTTAGTAGATGCCTTTTAAAAAACCATGGGTAACAAAAAAGCTTAGATATTTTCATTATTTACGTTTTACATATTTACTAAATAAATAAACATTATTACATAAAGGCCTTGTCCCACCGAATAGTAAATTATCATAACAATTCAACATGTAAATATGTTATGGAAATATTTACCTTATTTGACAGTGACGTCATTTTTATCCGAGCCTCTATCAGCCAATGGTGGGACAAGGCCTAATTATTAGATTCTTTTTAAAACTGCTTACATTTAAAAAGAAAGAAATTAGAGTTACCTCAATATCCTTAGGATCCGCAATCTCGGGTTCCACAAACAGTCTCCTAGCATTAATATAATCCCAGTCTTCAGGCGGCTGGTATTTATTTGTATCAATATTATGAAGTACTTCTTCTATAGAGCGATGTTGTTTTATTAATTCTATAGCCCGCTTTGGTCCGATACCTCGGATAGAGCCACAGTAATCACAACCGAGGAGTATACACAAGTCTATGAACTGAAAATAATTTATAACCATAAATAAACGAGCATCCTAGAAAGAGATGGATGTATTGCGTGAAAGGTGACATGATCAAGAAGGGAGTGATGACAGATGACGGATGATTGAGTGCTTTGGAGGACGAAAACCCGGTGCGCCCTACGGGAGTAGGATAAGACAGGGGAGATGATGATGTATAAACGAGCATCGGTGGCTCAGTGGTTTAAGCACTTGACTTGTAATCTACAGGTCTTTGGTTCGAATCCCGGTGTACCAATGTGATTTTTAATTTTCATATGTACATAATTTCTCCGACGTTCTTACGGTGTAGTAAAACATCGTGATGCCTGCACATAACGGCGAAGAAATTCAAAGATATGTGTGAAGACAACCAACCCACAGGGGGCCAGCATGGTTAACTATGGCCTAGTCACCCTAACCTAGGGTAGGCTCTGAGCCCCTCGGTGGGGACATATAGTGAGGTGATGATGACATATAGGGTTATTTATAATTGTAAAGAAAAAAATGTGTAAAACACCACCAATATTCTTATTTCAACTTCATATTATAAAAACGAACGAAAAGAATCTTATGTTATGAATTTGAACCATAAACACTATTGAATGGTTAAAAGTAGCTTGGAAACCGCCCATAAGTAAGTATAAATAATTAAATTACCTCAGTATGGTTCAATTCCAGTCCTTTAAGCACTTGATCGAGATGGAACTCCTGTACGGGCATCTTCCTTGCCTCGGAGAATGTGAGATGACGTAACAATACATTAGCACCAAATGTCAAGGCATCCATATCTTCAGTAGCTGTTGCATATACTTTACCAGCTTTTACCTGCATGAAAGTGAATATAATTTATAAGAAGAAACTATTAAGATGCCTGCGGGATTAACATAGACAGACTTGTTATAAAATCACATATTGAAATTTGTCTTAGCTATTTTTTAAATCTGCGGTAAAATGTAGTGAAATCTATACTAATATACAGAGGAATTTGTATCTTTGTATGTATTGATATAACTCAAAAGCTACTGGGTCGATTTCAAAAATTCTTTCAACATTAAAACAGCCATGTTAAGTAACATAGTTTTATTATTTTTTTAATTTCACGCGGGCTAAGTCGGCAACAATTAGTTTTAAAATAAAGGTAGCTAATATTATCTGTAATAAAGGAATTAAAAAGGATGGTTTAGTTTTGATTGAAATCCAATATACAGCATTGTTAAAGTTTTCTTTTCGTTACCATTTACTGCTGACAATAAAGGCTTATCTATACTATTATAATACAGCGTAAACACACACTTCTTTGTTGCCTAAGATGTCAGTAATTACAGCATATTTTTGAATAACCCTTTTTTTAATAAAAAGCCCTACATTTACGTCACACTTTAGGCTATATATTTCACGCCATTAAACATAGAGGGTAAAAAATTTGGATAAACACCCTAATGTGGGAAAGAGACCATAAGTTGCTGCCAACATCAAGGAAGCAAGGCTGCCATGCTTTGTCATCATGTCGTCATTTTGACATTTGCAATTGACAATTTAACAAAGTTTCACTGCGCGGCAATAGATGACATTTTAAGTTAGCTATTCATAAATCTCATTTAAATAGTTGTGACTGCTTTTAATAAAAAAATGTATGGTCCACTTTGCTTTTATTCCACCCTGGTCCTTCGAGCCGGATTCATTTACAGTCGAATACTGAAACGACATCATTTTAATGAAATGTAGACTTAAGTAATACTTTATTTTTTCTGACACTTATTATAATGTCGTTTCAAATTCGGCGGTAGGACACTTTTGTGGTGGTTTATATTTTATCATTTTGACATTTGCAATTTAAATTTGACACATGTAAACAACAAAATAAGATTTTCATAAATTCTATGCGGACAAGGTCGCATGGCAACAGCTAGTAAATAAATAAAAATGGCTTAATGTTTACCAAGGCAGCACATTGTGCCTCAGCTTCACAAGGTGCCTCCACTACAGGTACTCCCATCAGTTTGAGAAGCTCCCGTGCCTCCTCACCATGCTGCCTCGTTACTTTCACTAGACGGCGGTTGAACTTTTCTATTGATGCCTGATCTCCTGTAGAAACGCACATTAAATATTTAATTACTATGGTAAAATTGTAACTAATTTTCATTATTTCTTAGATCAATTGATGAAGATATTGAAGGTTAAATGTTTAAGAGAGTCATTTAAAGTTTTCATTTTTAGAAAACAAAACAAAAGCAAATCCTGAAAATAATATCAATTGAAAGATTTTCAGACCTGTTCTAGATAAAAATTACGATAATTCTGCATACTTCATTCTTTATTTCATATTTAAAATTCTGAATATATGAGTCAAAACCTTCCAAAACTGGTGGTTGAAACAAATAGCTTTTCCCCCGTCGATATGATGTTTGGAGTTACAGCACTTTTTAAAAACATTTTCTAGTTTGAAATTTCATAACGTAATTTTTTTATAATGGTTAAAAACAAAAAAAAATGCCTACTTATAAATTTTATTTAAATTTACCCATTAAGTGTAAAATCTTGACTTGACAGCATTGGAAAAACATGTTTTTACATATTATTAAGAGTGCATGTACACTGTTGACTAAACTATAGCACAACTGTTTAGTGTCGCTTTGATTCCTATAAGTTATGGAGGTTAGCACACTACTGGATTTTTAGTTGTGCAACTAAACAGTTGACTGCGAAACAATCGACAGTCCCACAACAGTTGTGCAGTGTGTATAAACTAACCAAATTTATTTACCTGCATCAGTAGCCTTCTGCAATTCTTTCTCAGCCTCTTCCCTCCTCTCCGCTCGCTTGTTTAGTTGATGGGACTTCATATCTGGTGGTTTACCGTCAAACACATATACAGGCTTGATACCATTCTCCACTAGCCTGATCGTGCGATAAAATGTACCCATCAGATGAGAAGTGGTCTCACCGTCTACTGATGTTAATTGTGCTCCTAAAATAAAATGTAAATCACTAATAAACAAGGGCTAGTCATGTATTAAAGTTATGGATGATTATATACGTTTTGCGTGAAATTAATGTGCCAAAATTTAAACAATTTACAAACCCTCGCTTCTCACAGCTATTAGGAACTGATATAAACTCATAGAAGCATCGATGGCCACTTTTCGTCCTGCAATTAACGTAAAATACAGTAATTTCATTTATAAACCTGTCACAATAGACCGGTGAAAATTTAAGTACCGAAATAGTTTTTAATCTCCATTTCTTTAACAGCTTGGGGTGCTATATCAGCAATTAACTTAGATAAACCCAAAATACCCATTTTAAGGAATTTTGTAACAAATTAAAAACAAAGCTTTTTCTGCCGCAACGTTTTTGTGGATTTCCTTTCTTGGCGCGATTTTTGACAGTTCTTATTGATATTTCGTTTTGTAATATTGCCACTTGTTTACTGACTCATAAGAAAATAAGATTGGTTTGTTTTACGACTCCACTGTTTTGTTTTTTGTTGTTTTTAATTGTTCGAAATTTTTTCACCGCGAGCAACCGCAACCATCAGCGCCAAAATGGCGAAAATCAGATAGACACAAAATATGATAGTTAGCCTATCCATTTATAAAGGTCCGTGGACAAGAGAAATGAAATGACAACTACCGATGACAATGACATATTTTCATATCTATTCACAAATCAATATTTGTGCACATAATATTGTTAATTATTTTATTTATCCATTTCTTGTAAAATTAATGAATTTTATCTATTATTATAGCTGTATTAGATAGACCAGGAAAACCAAATGTGTTTTGAGATTTGAATTAGACTAGTTTTGATAAGTGTAACAAGTCAAAAAAAATCGAAGTAGTTTTAGGAATCAAACCACTTGGGAACTGTACAAAATAGTTGATTTAAGATGGGAGGATTGATTTCAATTAATTTAGAAGAGAATTATAAGAAAAATGAAAAATTCCTACAAAGTCTCAATGAAATTGCGGTAAGTGTATTCCAAAAATGGTCATATCTCTTTTTACGTTAATTTTAAACCAGGCATATTTTAGATGGAGAGACAGATACAATTGCAATATCAAATGCAAGAAAGACAAAGAGCACTTCAAATAGCAAGAAGTCGGGATATATTTCTATGGTTTTCTGCATTCTATATCACCGCAGCCTCAGGTTTGCTTACAGGGTAAGTATAGCTGTTTTATACAAATACTAAAACAAAATCTAATTGCCTCTTTACTAAAACATTTTCAAGTTAAACAATTGTTCTTAACACACCATCTAGTAGTAAAATTCTCAAAAGTTGAAGTTAACAGGCCCCAAACATGCATGGATGCAGATGTTTGAATGTAGAACATACTATAAGGCCACTCAAATCACTCTAATATGTCAAAACTGTCTTTGTTAATCAAAATAAGCTAATTAAAAATCTATAGTCATAGTTAGACAATAGTGTGATAATATGTTTCCTCCAGTTTCAGACGAACAAAACGGACTTACTTATTGGCACCTCTTGTACCGTTAACATTTGTTAACTTGTACTACTGGGATCTTGCATATGGCAACAAATTGCATAGAATTAGAAGTAAGTGTAATTATCATTTTTTATTCATATTCTGTTGATATCTTCATAAAATGTTTTTGGTGTGTTGGTTTACATTGAATAACAAAATATATGTGTATTACAACAGTGGAAGCCGAGCACATCATGTCCCATGAGTCTGACATGCTGGAACTCCCCTGTGGTCTACCGTCCCCCTCCTCTGTAGACCAGGGTAGGATGGACGCTGAGGAAAAGAAGAAAATACACCCTCCCCTACCTTAAGTTAATGTATTATAATGTTCAAACTTTATGGCAGCTTGGATGTCGCTGTTAGCATAACTCTATACAGCTCTCTAGACAATGTAAGATTATTAATGCTGAAAATTAGTGGAATTCTCAATTTTCAATATTTCATACTTGTCAAATAATTATTCCCATGTATTTTGACGTATTTTAATTATTCTACTAATGATATTGTTTAAACTTCATTCTCAATGGGCTGTGGTAGGCCATGGGTTGTTGAAACAGAGCATCCATAGGGCCCTATGCTCATTACAGTGGTATCTTGAGGGTGATTTCTACACCAAGTGAATATAAAAATGGACTTGTGTTGTCCTTTTGTGCGTCTGTTTGTGTCTGATGCCTTGGGCAGTCACCCCACTCATTGGTAATGCTAAGTGTTGTTATATTCCGAGCTTCCTTAAAGTTTGAATGTCACTGTATCAATTGTCCTGTGCCTTCACAGCTTTTAGGGCAGTTATTCTTGTTAGATTCCTTGCTAGTATGCCAATAATGTTCAAAAGTATTAAAATTAATTATGAAATGAAATATTTTCTTTTGAATTTTTATATATGTTATAAGCAATAATGTAATTTACTAAGTTGTTAAGTCATACTATATTTTTTAATATTTTTTTTAATGTTAAAGTTATAGAAATTATTTTGTTGCATTTATTTTTTATAAAATTTTTTTTGGTGCTTTGTGTATTTTTAAGTATAAGTGAGTAGTTTTTATTAATGTTTGTGAAATCTAATAATAAACTTATTATAGCAATAAGAAGCAATTCCTATTAAATAATTATGAAAATTAAACTATTATGAAATTTCAATATTGCCAGTATTTGTCTGTTATAATTGTGGGTTTACCGCTGTCTGAAAAACAATTGAAGAATCAAAGAAATGTGAAATGATTATGTAAACTGCTTAGAAATACTATAAAAAAATACAGACAAATTGAGTACCTTCTTTTGGGAAGTCGGTCAAAATGTCTACAGTCTCAATAGATCCTTGTAAAACTCGAATTACATGTTATTTTTTAATTAAGATTTGGACCACATCTCCATTTCCTATAAATATAAGAATTGATACATCTGTCCCAGCTTGATCTTGACCCAACGCCCTAGGACATCAAAATGTTTTTTCGACAGAGGAAACCCATGTTAAAGCTTTTAATATTTAAGCTTAAATAAAATTCAATGAATGTTTTGAAAGTTGTTTTATTTGATACTACTTCTTGGCACCGATGTTATCCACTTGCAAATAAAAAAGAAGTTAGTAGCTTATGTGTTCAGACCATGTTCTACATCTGATTGTCAACGAGATCCGTTAAGCCGTTTTCCTTGTGTTGTGTTTGCGTAGTATTTACTATTCTGCCATACATCTCTATCTGACTATAATATAAAATTAAACAAGCATTACTTGGGACTAGGGCGGTCATCATCATCATCATGATTATATGTACCGAAAATATAAAATACGCGGCGGTGAAATATGTATTTGAGGAAAACTTGGAAGACTCTTTCTCAAGTATCCCTAATCCTGCCTACCCTACATGGTTGACAGCGTGTTATTTGATTTTAATTATAATCTGTACAAATGCCATTAGTACAGTTGTCAACTTCTGTTGCCATGGAAACACGATGTTGTTTGGGAAGCGTAAACAAATGAATCTCATTTGTAAAAGAAATGAATAATTGACGAAAACATAAATATCCATTAATATTATTGAAAATGGTGATTGTGAAAGGTTTTTTCATAATTTGTAAGTATGAAAATCAATTAAATACATGTTATTTTAAATCTTTGCTCATTATAATTCTAACATCATGTAAAAAAGTCATTAATAATGGTTGCTCGGGTTGACAATAAAATCAATATCGCTTCATATTACAGTTGTCAAGCACTTGCCCTTTATTCAAATTAGTTTCATAGTATTGGCATAACTTAAATTCATCAGTACCGACATAGCATTTGATAATTTATGTACACTCAAATTATCCCATTACAGAATACCGTTACGCAAGTTGGCAAGCAAAATGAGCCAAACAATCAAGAAGGAAGACCAGAAAAAGAAAGAATGCCAAAAGCAAACACAAAAGAAAAGTCCGGAGAAGAATATGTCAGAAATTGACGAGCATATTTTGAAAAGATTCGAAATCAAGAAGCGACTTGGTAAAGGTGCTTACGGTATAGTATGGAAGGCCACTGACAAGAAAACCAAAGATGTGGTTGCAATTAAGAAGATTTTTGACGCATTTCGCAATCAAACAGATGCTCAAAGAACATTTAGAGAAATTATATTTTTGCAATCGTTTCGTAATCATCCTAATATTGTTAAATTACACAGCATACACAAGTAAGTCCTTTACTCTATGCTAATATTATAAAAAGGAAAGATTTGTATTTTTGGATTTTTGTATGTATTCGATTCACGTAAAAACTACTGGGCCGATTTCAAAAATTCTTTCACTATTAAAAAAGTAAATTATCTGTGAGTAACATAGGCTATGTTTTTTTTATTTTTTTAATGTCACGTGGTCGTAGTCCCAAGCAACAGCTAATTAAACAATACGATTATTTTTTTTATTTAAAAAAAGATGTAGGTAGCCACAAATAATTACGAATTATTATGATGATGATGTTTAAATCGATTAAAATCGTTTCCTTTATAATTTGTTTAATCGTACCTCTTTTTTTAGGGCACTTAACAATCGTGATATCTACCTTGGTTTCGAATACATGGAAACAGATCTTCACAACGTGATCAAACGCGGCAACATCCTCAAGGATATACATAAGCGGTACATAATGTATCAAATGCTGAAAGCCACTAAGTATATACATTCAGGCAATGTCATACATAGAGACCAGAAGCCGAGTAATGTATTGATTGATAGTGCATGCAGGTTAGTACGAAAAAAAGTGATACTAGTAACTAACTTTCGCAATTCCATCTGCGTGGAATTGAAAAAAAATGAGTAGCATATGTGTTCTTCTAGACTATCCTCTACGTCAATGCCAAATTTCATCGAGATCCGTTTACCAGTTTAGGCTACAAACTCTAACAAACATGTATGAAATAGGACGTGAAATTTTGCGATTTTACTGGAGGTATATTTTGTTAGGTGAACTGCGGTGCTTCTAATACAGGGGTTGGGATAAAATGCTCCTCTTGCGTCAGAAACGCAGTAGGTACTTTGAAGATTTTTTCAAGATGTTCTGGTTTTTTATAATTGACCACAATTATAACATAGATAAAAAGATGTTCTTTTAACATCTAACTACATGTTATTAAAGTACTCGTGAATTCATTTGTCGTGTTTGAATCTCTTAAATGTTCTTACTTTGATTCGGAACAGGGTGAAATTAGCGGACTTTGGTCTAGCTCGGTCTGTCTCCAGTGTGTACTCGGGTGGAGAGGAGGGCGCGGACCCTTGTCTCACTGATTATGTGGCTACAAGATGGTATCGAGCACCGGAGATATTGATTGCTAGTAAGAAGTGAGTAACCAAATGTTTTAGAATACATTCAAGGTCATCGACTCACCTTGTTTTTATTTTACCAAAAGTACCGAAAGTATTACTATTGAATTTTCGTATTAATTAATTTGTGGT